ATGCTTGCTCGGCTGGGTTCACTCGGTTGCGCTCCTCGATTTCGGGGCGTGACACCTAATATCTTTGTTAATATAGGGTACACCATTCCCTAGTCATATTTTCCCGATATAAGGTACACCAATTCTTAGTTGAGACATCATTTTGACAAGAAGGGTACACCACTCCCGACACTTTAGTGCTTTTAATAAAGAAGTAGGTTAGAATTTTGTTACAATAACTCACGAAATTTTCCTAGTGAAAATTGGGGCAGAAAAATTTCGTTCGTTTGTTTGTTTTGGTATTTGAGCAGGTTTTACTTCGAGGCACAGGGTTCGAGATGACCAAAGTAAGAAGCCTCAATCTAGAATAAAGGAAAGAAAAGAAAAGAAAAAAAAAGTGAATCCAAAATGCAGAAGCGAATGAAAGGATGTGGACTACTCAAGACAGGACTGAAGTCACGAGTTTTTACATTTCCCGTTTTGATCAGAATAAGCCATAGAAGAATCAACTAGCACTTGCAGCTAGATAGCATCAAGGTTCAGATCAGAGTCTGCTTGAAGAATCAGTCAAGACTCAAGATCAAGTTTTAGAAAACTTATAGATAGGAATCTTGTAACTGATAGCTCATAGGCTTGTTTAGTTTCTTTTGATTTTGATGTAATAACATGACCATAGACTGGAGTTTCGACGGAACCTCACTCGACTCTCCAACTCATCATTCCACCACTCCATTCTTCCTCCTTTAACTACACACGACGTGATTTTTCTAAACTCGGGATATATAGGCTGTCCAAAATCAGGACCTGGTTGCACTCTTTTCTCTTCTCCTTATTTCCTCCCCTTTGAATAAAGATATGTTCTAAAATTAGTCATATGGCTCACCTTTTCTTTGCCTGAAAACTCTTCATGTTTTCAAGCAAAAAATGGCATGTTGTGAGCACCTAATGTTTGTCCATATTCGATTAGTTTTTAATCAATTTTTAGTATGTAAATATTTTTATTTTATTTTTTTAACTTAATTTTGATAATTTAGTTTTCGTTTCACCTTTTTATAGGTTTTTACTTTAAAAAAACGATTCACATTGTTAGTACTAGTTTTAGTTTTAATTAACAAAAGAAAGAAAACAAAAAGAGGTCCACCTTTTAAATTCTTTAAATGACCATCCGTAGGAATTTTGTCATGGTCACATGCATTTTGGTATTTTCTTGTCATCTTATCTCTTTTAGAACCTTATTTTATTTTTAAAGTTATCTGCGCACACTTTACCACTAAAAGAATTATTCCCTCATAGCACACACCTCACTTTACACCTCCCCACATTTCTTCTTTAACAACTCACACTCCCACTCTTCCTGTTTAACAACTCACACTCCCACTCTCTCTTACTTATATAAAAACACTTAGACACAAGCTTTGAGGAGATCTTAGAGAGAGTTGTTTGAACACGCACGAGAAGGAGAGGGAAAATAGAAATAGAGAGAGGAAAAGCAGAGAAAAAAAGGTTGTCTTCTTCTTTGTTTTAGCTTTCATCTCCATAGAGCAAGACCATAATATTTCTGCCATGAAAATATTACAAAACCTCCATTAAAATACCTTTGAAATAGCTTCAAATTCCAACCCAAACAACCCCTCGAAAAAGAGTTCCAAAAATACAACAAAGTCCTCATTTCGTTTTCTCAAGTTGTACAAGATTCCAATCGTTGGTTCCGGTTGAAGTTGCCGAAAAATATTTCGTTTAAAATCGACAAGATGTTGTAATTCGAGTTGAGATCTATCTATACAAAGGTCCTTTTTCTCTTTATTTCACTGATTTAATTGATACTTTATTTTGATTGGTCTAGCTAAAAGCTTTCAACTGTTTCGTTGCTTAAATTTCCCAAAATTGAATGTTGGATGTTTTGTTTTGTTTGCTGAATCTGGAGAAAAAAAGATATAAAATTCCACCTTATTCATCGTTAAATGCATAAAATTGGTTTATGTTTGTACATGTGAAAGTTTTAATATATTTTCTTTTTTTGATGAGCATGAATAACTAGTTTAACTCATTTTCGTGGGCTCATAGATATTATAATGAATTAGCAATGTTAAAGAATAAGTTTGGTGGCAGTGATGAATTTAAGATTACAAAATATATCCTTAGATTCTTAGTTGCTTTTAAACTTTGATAAGTTATGGGATTTGAGCTATTAAAGAATGAAGGATTTTTATATAGTAAATATGTTTGATGAAATAGTGAGCAAACATGATTTTGAATCGCTGTTTGGGTCTGATAGTGTGTTTTGAGTTGATATTGTTTAATGAAAGCTTAGTGAGAATATTTTATTAATTTGTAATTGAATAGAAAAGTCGTTGTAAGTTCATTTGATATTGGGCAATGGGATTTCTGACTTTTTCTTTGAATAAAATAGAAAACCAGACCTTTAAGATTTTTGGCTAAAATAAAGGGGCATTTACATCTATACCCAATTTTTGGGTCAACTTTTAACGTATGCCCGCTTTGTAAAAAATATTGTAAACGTACCCACTTTTCGGGTAACTTCAGACATACGGGTCTGAAAAAGCAAAAATTTATGTCTGAAGTTTGAACTTCATAATGTTTTGACTGAAGTGTAGCAAAACTTCATATATGTTTGCCTGAATTTTGGCCTGACTTGAAAGGCAATCACGCAAACTTTAGTTCATAGTGCAATGGCTAACTTCAGCTCAATAAAATTACAACATGTTTTGGCTGAAGTCTTTGTTCTGTAATTGCCGAACTTCAGCATTCTAGGAACTGAAGTTTGTTTTGTAATTGTTGAATTTCGACATTCTAGGAGTTGAAGTTTATTTTGTAATTGCTGAACATCAGCATTCTAGAGCTGAAGTTTGTTTTGTATTTGCTGAACTTCAGCATTTTAGGAGCTGAAGTTTTTGTTTATATTTGCTGAATTTCAGCATTCTTAGAGTTGAAGTTCTAAGTCTGCACACAAATTTCAACTCTGAAGTGCAACCAATGACTAATAAGTCTGAAGTGAAAAAATTGCACTTCAGATGCACTTAAGGCCAATAAGTTTGAAGTGAAAATTTACACTTTGGATGCACTTAAGGCCAAAAGGTCTGAAGTGCAACTAACGTTTTTGTGCACTTAAGACCAAATACATCTGAAATGTAAATTGCCCAGAAACAGAAATTTGTTCTTCGAATTATAACAATCCAATTTAGGATTTAATACCTAAATCTACTCCAAATGAGCTCAAATTTAAAACATAACCCCCAAATATCATCAGAAACAAACCCCAATCATCAATTTGTCAAAACAACAATAAATCTAATGAACCCATTTTGCAATTAAGAAAAAGAAGAAGAAGAAACCCTAAGCAATAGCAAAAAAAAAGCATCATAACAGCTCACCATTGTAAAACATCATAAACTACATTAAAATATGTTTACAACCATCATATAAAATCATTGTCACCCGAAGAAGAAGAAGAAGAAGAAGAAGAAGAAGAAGAAGAAGAAGAAGAAGAAGAAGAAGAAGAAGAAGAAGAAGAAGAAGAAGAAGAAGAAGAAGAAGGAGGAGAAGGAGGAGGAGAAAGATGCCTGAAGTTGTTTAAAAAGCGGGTATAAGTTAAAACGTTTTTAAAAAGTGGATATAGATTAAATGGGGGTGACCAAATAGGGTGCCCCATGCAATTTTTACTAAAATAAATCATCTGCGAGGCCCACTTTCAATAGTTTCCATAAACTCTTGGCCTTACAATAATCTCAAAGTTTAGGAAGAATAATGAACATTGTTAGAGTGCTTTAGGCATATTTTTAATTAGTTTATCGCGATTATGTATACGTTCGCGTGGCATAATTGTGATTTTCAAAATTAAACCTAAGTATGTGTTCGTGCAACTTTGGCCAAAATAATCTTAATATAATAAAATACTATTAATTGTGTACACATACACGTGACATGATTTTAGCACAATAAATAAAACGAATTCACACACGTGATTCATTTCAAGATAATTTCATATTTTAATAATTAAAACGGATAGATAAAATATGGAAATCAATAAATCACAGTTTATTCAAAATTAATTCAAGCCAAGTTGTAATCAATAAAGCGACTATGCTAGAACCATGTGACTCGGGAACTGCCTTACACTTTCTCCCCGGTCAACAAAATTCCTTACTCGGACTTTATTTTCGAAGACCAATAATAAAAGAGTCAAATCTTCCTTTGAATAGGGATTCAAATAAAAGGTGATTTGGAACACCTAAAAAATAAATTCTAAATGGCGATTCTGAACAATAAAATAATCCATACTTCAAAAATATCACTTTAATTAGAAAAACACTTTAACCCCTAACAATCTATAACATATATCTTTTGGAAGGTAAAAAGGAGGTGTGACATTATTGACAAGCAAATGACCAAAGTCATGGAGGCATGGAGGCTTGATGTAAAATGGTTTTTGTTGTTTCAATAATGTGTATGTGTCTACGTTCAGCCATGGATACTCTTTGTGGTGTGTCTGGTGGTGATATAAGGTGTTCAATGCCATTGGTATGAAGAAATGATTTGAGGCCGTCAAACTCACCACCACCATCAGTGTAGACCGAGAGTATTTTTGTATGAAAGTAATTTTCAACAAGGGTTTTGAATTTAGAAAAAATTGTTTGGACCTCGCTTTTGTTTTTAATCGTATATAACCAAATATATTTTGTGAATTGATCAATAAAAATTACATAATATAATTTTTTATCAATTGACAAAATAGGCGAGGGCCCCCAAAGATCACTAAAAATAATTTATAAAGGCTTCTTGCTCAATAGAGTGTTTTGAGAAAAAGGTTGCATGTGGCTTTTATTGGAACAACACGAATTACAATGATCAAGCTTTTCAGAATTTGAAACTAGAATTGAAAACTTATATAAAAGTGTCTTGAGCACTATTTTATTTGGATGTCCTAATTTTCTATGCCAAGACTGGTGAGATTCTGCCTTGTTGGGTTCGTAGCTCAAATTGCATTGGTATCCTCCGAAGGGCTACTCGTAAAGTCCTTTATTCTGGCCTCGTGCCAACGGCGCCCCCGTGCTCAAATCCTTCACAAGAAAATCATAGGGTAAAAATTCAATTGATGTCAGGTTATCTTTACAAAATTGAGACACGGATATAATGTTACGTTTAATATCTGCTGCACACAAAATATTCGAAAGCTGAAACCTTTTGTTTGAAGCATTTATTTGAACATGACAAGTGTGAGTTATAGGGATTTTATTACTGTTACCCATCGTAATGTCCTCTGTACCAGTGTAGTCATCTGAATGTTGAAGATTCTGAGTATCAGTAGTCACATGATGTGACGCTCCTAAATCAACAATCCAAAGCATGGCATGAAAGTTTGCCTTGGCTTCCAAGTGATTATGAGAGCATGAGCGGCATGCATACATTGGCAGTACGCCCAGTGCGACCACATAACTGGCAAACTGGACGATTTTGTTGGGGAGGGGCTGTTGGACGCCAGTTAGGTGATGATGATGCATTTTGCAGCCTGGGATACGATGGTGCATATTGCTGCTTGGAATTTTGTGAACGCCATGGTTGTCCTCGCTTATTGTTGCGAGGTACAAAATTGTTTGAAGAAGCTTTTTGTGCCACTGCGGCAGTGATTGAGGATGTTGATTGGTTCAACTCTTGATGCTTCAGGAGAAGAGTATTTTGACTAAGGTCCTAGACCACTGAGTATTTTGACTACAAGTTCGTCATCTAGAATAGGAGCTCCAGCAGTTGCAAGCTCATCAGCAATGTTCCCGATCTCTCGCAAGTACTCAGTCATACTGCGGAAATTTTTTTTAATTGTTGCTAAGGAGTTTCGAATACTGAACACCCGTGTATGAAATTTATTCGCATACAAGTTATGTAACGAGTCCCACGCTTGCTTGGAAGCGGAAGTTTTTGTGATTGTAGAGGTGATCTTCGGATCAACAGATGTCATCAATGCATTGCGGATCAACTGGTCCGGACGAAACCAGAGTTTATATTTGGGATTGGGTTCCTCTGAGTTGTTGACGGTAACAGTTTTTGGTGGTGTTTTCATAGTTCCGTCAAGATAGCCATAGATGTCGTGTCCCAACATCAGAGACTCGACTTGGGCCTTCCAATTGACAAAATTGATTGGACCAGTGAGCTTTAGAGGAAATTGGGAACCTGGATTAAATTGAACCAGGTAATTGGTGTTATTAGCAGGGATGATGGAGTCGCTTGGATTAACCATGGATGATATAGAAACTATGAGGTAGGTTTAAGAGAGACGAGCAGACAATTGATTCTCGTTGGAGCTTTGAAAAGCTCTGATACCATAAAGGTGCACAACAGGAGGAAGAGTATGAAGGCTCATTCATTTATTCATGATGTACAAAGCTCTTTAAATACAAAGGATGGACCAAGAATTACTCCTAAATTATAGAATAATGAGCTGTAATTGACAAACTAAAGATACACCAAAATCTGTACAAATAAAGGAATAAAATAACAATACAAAAATATTTACACAAATAAAGGAAACAAAATAACTAAGGAGATTCGCCAATAGTAGGATAAGTGGGTTCAAGATGCGTTTGATCTTATTATGTATAAATAGTTCAATCAGAAAATGAAAAGTTCACTTGAACACCTTAGACCTGCATGTGGTCGCAGGGGCTTATCTAGGGGGTTCCATGGGGCACGTGAACCCATGCTCCCCGCCCTAAATCACGTATAGTAATGTTATATTTTTTCAAAAACTATTTAAATATATGTGTGTGCACTCATGCCCAAAGTATTATATGATATGATGGTTATTGAGTGTACATCTCTAGGTGAGGTTGTGAGTTTAAATCTTATGTCAATCTTGTTGTTTTTTCCTTTTTTTTTTTTCTAGAAGTAGACGCATATGGGAGATGGGCGTGGCTGGTGTTATTTTTTGCGTATTAATTAAGTATTTTTTCCTTTTATTTCTTTTTTTGTTTGGTTAATTCTTTCAAAATTTTCACACATTGAAATTCCTATTCTTCTTTTGTCGCCGTAAAATCTTATATGATTAAACAAAATGTGTATATTAAAACTAGTAGCAGTGTATGTTGGCATATAGTCAATGGGTTCAACTGATCTCAATATTTTCAATATGGAAAATAGATATATATGTAAGAAAATTATTATTTTAAAAAACGAAAATTTGAACTTATAATTCCAAAAGTGCAATGGGTATGCAATCGTAAGAACTAAAGGTTGAACTCGTAAAATTTATATTATGGACCCACCTCTTCTTAATAGTGCTCCCGTCGTGCCAAAATCATTGATCCGCCCGACGGTAAATGATATAAGCAGAAATGTGGAAAAGCTGCTAACACCTTTGAATTGCAACATCATATATTTCATTTTCATTTTGCTTTTTCTGTTCTAGTATTGACAAAAACTTATTTTACAAGAAAAAATTGGAGTTTAACAGAACAAAGCATATTTATATGTATGTAAAACTCTTCAGTAAATATCAAAAGCATTTTACAGTTGAATGCGAGAGGACTGGAAGACCCCATTGACAAGAGAATACAATAGCAGGACATATCTCCTCCATCTTCATTCTTTTCACTATCTCCCCATATAGTCTTGCAATTTTTCTTGGCAAACTTACCTCTGAAAATGCCTTCCAATTCAACTTTCTTGAATGTGATAGCCTCAATCCTTTGAATCTTCCATACATAAGCCAGCACTTTCTGGACTTTGTAACTTTTTCTTCAACTCTTTCATATCTTCTAATTCCATGACTTTGAGATTTATGAGACACCCCCATCTTTAATTGCTTACTATTAATTATCTTTAGGGAAGTACTGAAATGCAAGAAAATTATGAGGCTATATATGAAGAGGAAAGAAACAATAGAAGATATTAAAGGGGGGATGAATGTGTCATGTGTGTGCTGCCACATGAAGAATCTTGCTCTTAGTATTACTTCACCTAGGTTTAAATAACAATAAAAGCTAAGTTGTTTTTCCTGCATATAAGATTCCTTCAACACATGGCTAGGGTCATATTTTAAAAATAAGTAGCACTTCGCATACACAAAGGGAGAAATCAAAAAAGAAGTTGTAGAGGAGAATGTGAACAATATACCAGGTTTTGACCAATATTATCTTTTATCTTTGAGGGTATGTCTATTTTGGTCCCTCAAATATAACCCTGAGCATATTTAGTCCCTTAAGTATGTTAAATTGGAGTATCTTTAGTCTCACTGACAGAGGTTTTGACCAATATTGTCCCTTATCTTTGAGGGTAGGTCTATTTTGGCCCCTCAAATATAACTCTGAGCATATTTGGTCCCTTAAGTATTTGGTCCCTTAAGTATGCTAAAGTGGAGCATCTTTAGTCTCACTGACACAATATATTCAAAAACTA